ACGAGTCAGTGGCGCCAGCTCAACGCGCGTCTGTACAGGAGGCGCCGGCGCAGCGGCCCCGTCCCCGTAGTGGTGACGTGCACAGAGGAGCCCTGGCTGACCTGCGCCCTGCGGGATGGGAGACGGGGCCCGGGCGGTCCCACGGCCACAGTCCGGCAGCTCCCAGTCCACAAACCCTCAGGATGGGATCCTCAGCCCCCAGAGCTACACCTGGTGGGAAGAGACATAGGCGATCGTGACCCCCCGGCTGCACTGCCAGGGGTCGTGCCCCTCCAGGTGCCAGGCTGGCTGTGCTCATGCCAGTGGGTTCGTACCTTGTGCACCTGCGGCGGGAGCTCGTCCTCCGAGCTCTCCTCGGGCACCGGCTCGGGGTGGCGCGCAGGCTGCCCGTCCTCAGCCCAGCCACCAAGCGGCAGGCGGGAGAAGTGTGATGGGGCTCTGTGCACCGTGCCCGGGTCTGCGGGGAGAGGAGCCATCAGGGGGTCTGCCACGGGGCAGCAGGCCTGCAAACCGTAGCCCCCATCCCCAGTGACCCCCCACCTGCTCCTGTCACTGCAGCCAGGCTGCGGGCACACTGCCACCCTGCACACTGCCACAGGGGTCATGGCTCCCAGGGACGGGCTAGGAGGCCGGCGCACCTGTGATGCCCCCGTAGCGGCGCTGGAAGCCCATCTGCAGCGTAGTGGCCTCCTCGGTGGGCAGGCGCGGTGAGGAGAAGGGGTAGCTGGCGGAGCGTGGGATGGTGCCACCAGGGCCCCGCTGTGCGTCCGCCTCCTCCTGGGCGCTCTCCCCGCTCTCGTCACTCTCCCGCCGGTGCCACACGTGCCGCTCAGGCTCCAGCTGCGCGTGCTGCTTGTGGAGCTGCAGGGCGACAGGACGGTGCGTCAGGCCCAGGACCCCCTGCTTGCCCACAGGGCTCGGGCCCCTGCCCTGGCCCCCAGCTCACCTCGTGCATGTAGAGTGCGTGGAGGCTCATCTCGGTGGAGGCATACTCCGACAGGATCATGCTCTGCAGCTGCCCCTCCCAGGCACTGCTCCCCGAGCTCGCCGTCCGGGCGTCCGCGCTGCAGCCGGGCCAAGAGCAGAGGTGACGCCCTGGTCCCCAGAACCCCCCCGTGCTCCTGCTGGCCCCAGGGGCCCGCACGGTGCCACCCCTGGCACCTGGAGAGCCCCCAAGCAGCCTCCAGGCCAGGGCCGTGTGTGCCAGCCCATCTGACTCCATGGGCACGCCCCCATCCACCTCTGCCCGACGGCAACACCAGAGCTTGGCACTGCATCACCACACCCCCGCCCCCGGTGCCCGAGGCCACTGCCCTTACCCTGAAGCCGTCATGGTGCTGCCGGCCCGGGGCTGGAGCCCGTCTGCATGGGCCCCCGCTGCCTGGAAGGCGCCGTGGGGCTGCTGGATGGACTGCAGCGGGGAAAAGGTGCGTGGGGCAGAGGCGACCTCGGAGCGGTGGTGAGAGGCCGGCGCCTCGCGGCCCGCATGGAAGCCCAGCACCGAGGAGCCCGCAATGACGTTGGCGATCAGGCTGTGAGGCTGTGGCAGGCAGAGGGAGAGGGGGTCATGGCCTGGGGCAGAGGGAAACCACCTGTGGCACTGCAGCAGAGCACCAGAGCCCTGTCCTCCCCCTGCCCAGTCTCACCCAGAGGCCCCTGGGTGCTATCCCCACGACTGCCCGGCCAGTCCTAGCCCCCGACTCCAGCCCCTCCATAACCCCAGCCCCGGTCTAAGCCGAGCTGAGCTCAGGCCCAGGCTGCGCTGAGTGCTGAGCTGGCCCCGTGCACCCCACACAGCTCAGGTTTCCCCATTTTCTGTTGCCCATAGGGGCAGCCAGCGCCCGGGCACAGCTGGAGCCCCGTCCCCCGCCATCGCAGGCACCTCGGACTCAGACTGCAGGGACTGGATGGAGGTGAAGAGGGCGTTGTCAGGCAGCCCAGCCTGTTGCGCCAGCACCACGCTGCTGTCCCGGTGCACCCGCTCCTTGAGGAAGCCGATGAAGGCCGTGCTCTCGCGGGGTGGCTGCCAGCGCGGATTGGTGATGGCGAAGTGCATGAGCGACAGCTCCGTTTTCCCATCCTCCGCCTGCTGGTAGATGGAGGCCTCCGTCTTCCCCGCCGACATCCACTGCAGAGCAATGGGAGGATGAGGGCTCTGCCCTGCCCCTGCCCCTGCCCCTGCCCTCGCTGAGGGACACAGCACCCACGCCAACATGCTGCACCCGGGAAACATCCCCGAGGGGCTGCCCACTCCGAGTGGCATGCTGGATCCCCTCCTACGCCCTGCCCCTCTCCCCAACAAGGTGACTGGGGCTCTAGGATGCTGGCAGCAAAGGCAGCACTCCCGGGCATTCGAGGACAAAGTTCGTTAATGTAATGAGTTAATTGCAGTGTTGACAGCTTGGTTCTTAGCTAAACAGCTGCGCTGAGGCGGGTTGCATGGCTGGTTTACAGGCCAGCGGAAGACATGGCTGGGTGGCACCTTAGAGACTGACTACCCGTAGGCCTAGTCGGTCTGGGAGGTGCGGTGCTGCGCTGCGCTGCCCTACCCAGTCCAAGCGGCTGGCCGGACTGGCTCCTAGCCCAGCACCACCCATCCCCCACCTCCGTTCTCTGCATGTTAATTAAGACACCCAGACTACAGCTCCTGGCATGCACTGCGAGTAGCTTGCTTGCAGCATATGCTGGGATGGCTGCCCTCCACAGTCTGTCTGAGGACTTCCGGCTGCTTTCAGGCCCTGCACCAAACCCCTGCGAGGCGAGGGAAGGGGCAACATGCTGGCCATACCGCGGGGTGTCCGTGCTGGCGTACGTCCATCTGGGCGAAGGAGCAGGTGTCGCCCACTCCCACCACCTCCACCGTGAAGTTGCGGAAGAAGTCGATGATCTCCAGGGACTTGGGGCGCAGGCAGAAGATGAGGATCAGCGGCGTCACGATCGGGCTCAGCAGCTCCTCCAGGATGAAGACCTGGGTGGGGGACACAGGCTCAGGACTAGGGCCACAGGCAACCAATACGGTCAAAGATGAGGTCTCCACCGAGGAGACCCTGCCCCTCCGGAGTCATCGCACTGCGGCTCCAGCATCACCTCAGAGGGAATCTCAGAGCCAGAGGTCTGGCAGGGGCCACATCCAGCCCAAGGCAGGATCCAAGCCCCCCAGATGAACCCCGTGTGCGACCTCGGAGCTGCACAACACCGTTGCCCCCGCCAGTCCCGGGCACTGCCCCGGCCCCCAGGATACAGGGGGGCCACAGCCGCCAACGTCCTGCTGCCGTGCAGGGGGGGCGAGGGCCAGCACAACTCTGCCTGGGACACCCCCCCCCTTGCAGACCACAGACAGACATCGCTGCGCCTCAACCCTCTTGCCCAGCGCCCGTCCAGCCTCTCCTTGGACCCCCCTTGCTGCAGCGTCCCCTGACCCTGGGGTCTCCCCGCGGCCGCCCTGCTCAGGCAGCAAAGCATTTCCCAAGATCCAAAGTGAACTTACTACAAGTCCTGTACTCCTCCCCTGACCCCATCCCTCACCCCAACCCTTCCTCTGGGGACAGCCCCAGCCGCCAAGGCAGCCTGGCCTTGGGGATCGAGACACTTTGCCCTCCAGCTCTGGCCCCTGCCCCTCCCCATCCCCACCCCCAGCTCACCGCCTTGTACTGGAAGAGCTGCGCGAACTCGTCACGGGTCTCATAGCGATGCGCATTGCCCTGCCAGTGGTCGGGCATGTAGTGGATGTGTGCGAGGATGACCCGCAGCAGCTGCTGTGGGCAGAACACCAGGTGCTGGTCAGGGATGAAGGACCTGCGGGGCCGGGACACAGGACACTGGCCTCAGGGACCTGCTGGGTGAGCTCCCCGTCCCCCGCCCCTGGAGGCTCCCCCCGGGCTCAGCCAGCAACCCACCCCCGTCCCACAGATCCTAGCACATGCCCATGCCAGTGCCTCAGCCTCCCAGCACCGTGCCAAGGGCGCTGCACCCACATGCAGAGCAGGCCCAGAGCTGCCAGGCACCAATGGACAAGGATCCTGATTTTGTAGCAGTGAGGCCCATTGGCCAGCCCTGAGACCGTGCCAGGGTGCCCAGCAGCTGCACCCCCGTTGCAGTCCCAAAGCCCACACCCGCCCGGCCCCTCACCGGCAGATGGTGACGCCAACACCCAGCAGCGTGACAGTAGTGAGCACGTGTTCCACGGCCAGCACGTCCTCATCATAGATGGTGAGGGCAATAAGCACGGCCAGGATGGAGCCGGCGAAGAAGGCCACGTTCTTGGCCACGATGGTGAGCAGGGGCGAGATGAAGCAGTTCATGTACTTGGAGGCCGCCTTGTAGCCCTTGCTGAGGCGTGAGTGGAGCTCATGGTCCAGCTCGTTGAAGTGGCGCAGGTAGCAGCGGCCATAGAGCGACCAGCAGCGGGCGCCCAGGCTGCCCGGCTCCCGCTTGAGGATCTCGGTGTAGCTGAAGAAGGCGTAGAGGATCTGCCAGATGAGGATGAGGGGGCAGAGCAGGAAGTTGGCGATGCCGATCCAGAGGATGCGGGTGCTGAGCTTATCAGCCAGCTCCAGGCGGTGCCCAGCTCGCTTGTACTCGGCCTTCAGGCTCCACTCGTTCTCGAAGAGCGAGCCAGGCCCCCAGAAGAAGATGAGCTCGAAGTTGTACTTGAGGCCACGCGTGTAGAAGACAGTGTCGCCCAGCAGCGGCAAGCGGAAGCGCACGGGCAGCAGCGACTTGTTCACCATGGCCACCATGTAGTTCTTGAAGCGCAAGATGCGGTGGTAGACGTCCAGCTCCGTCAGCTCCTTCTTGTGGATACAGATCTGGTGCTCCTTCTGGATCTGCACGATGCGCGCCTGCACCTCCTGCCACGTGAAGTAGGGCAGTGTGGCCTGTTGGGGAGTGAGGCATCAGTGTCTGCAGGCCCAGGGGAACGGGCTCCCTGCCCTGGCCAAGAGCTCCCCCAACCACTGGGCTGGGCACCGACACCCCCGCAGCAGATGAGGCCGGAGGCTCGTTCCCACTCTGCAACCCGTGCTGGGCTGACAGGAGAGACGTCCTTGGGCTGCCGCGTGCGTGAGCACCGCACCCGTGGGCACACGGCAGCTCTGAGACCTCGGCTGCCTGGGGGCACAAGCAAGGCCCTGGCAGTCCCCAGCCTGAGGTCCAGGTCTCCCACCACGACGGGCCACGACTGGCAGAGAGAAGCAGGGAGAGGACAGGGCTTGTTCGGTGCCCCTGGAGCCCGGGGCAGAGCTGGGAGCAGGACCCGGCCTCCCCTGTCCCCAGCGGACACGGGCCACCCCCTAAATTGGTTGCAAAGCTCTTGACGCTCGTCAGAACAACAAGGTCGTCCCAGGCAGAACCCGGCCGTGCCCTTCAGGCACTGCCTCGATCCTAGGGGCGATTTGGGGAGTGGAGGCAGAGCAGGCTTCGACCCCAGGCTGTGTCAGATGCCACGTGCCCATGGCCAGCTCAGCTGCTTCTATGAGGAAATTGGGATAGTCACGCTGTCCTCCGCCCAGGGATGGCATGAGGATAAGCTCGTTAATGCTAACGAGGCTGTGACCCAGCAGGGAAAAGCTGGTCCCTAATTAACAGCTGGCAGGGCGGGGAGCAGATGGCTGCAGGCGGCGGGGGATGGTGTGGGCAGGGGCACTTGGAGCCTTCGCACAGGCCGTGAGGCCGTTTCGTAACCCCCGGGGGGGGGTCCAGAGGACCCCAGGGGCAGGGGGCAGCAGCTGCGACCGACCCCGCGAGCCGGGCACCCACCATGGGGATCTTGAGAGCGTTGATGTAGAAGGAGTGGATCTCCCAGTAGCAGCAGATGTTGTAGATGAACTTGACGAGGCGATGCACCCAGAAGACGCCCGCCACCACCAGGATACAGATGAGGAAGCTGTTCTCCTGGATCCTGGGGGAGAGGGGACAGCTCAGCTGCCCAGC